TTTTTTTTTTTTTTTTTTTTTTTTTTTTTTTTTGTTAATTTCATGCACCATCAACTTTCGAAATCGGCAAATCTTGTTCCAGTCTGAGACTAAATATTCAATATGTACTTCGTTTGTATTAATTAACTAAATTTTTTATATCTAAAAGTGTCAGAAGTTTAAATATAGAAGCATATATATATATAAATGGACCCGTTTTTGAAGTGAATTGAATATTCTCTTATGAGTTTGCTATTGATTTTCGCGTAATTTTTAGACCCCTCTTCTTTCTATTGGGTTTCATCGTTTCAATTCCTTTGTTTAGTTTTTGTCTTATTTTATGAACTATCTCTTCTGTTGTACATCGAGGCAAGTACATTTAGTTGTCTGAGGTTTTACTTTTACCCTTGTTCATGTGAAAGCATTAGGTCATTTTTTATTTATAGTAATGGATAATGTTAAAATTTGATCTTTCTCTCCCTATAATTTTATACATAAATATTCTACGACGCAGGAAACTGGCAGGACTAGGATACCACCGAAGCGCAAAGAAGTGCAAGGAGAAATTTGAGAACGTGTACAAGTACAACAAGAGAACCAAAGAGAACAAAAGTGGCAAATCACATGGAAAAACCTACAAATTCTTTGATCAATTACAAGCCCTCGAAGTCTCAAATAACCCGCCAAAACCACAACCTCCTTTGCCAACAACAACAAACACATTAACATTGCCAACAAGGCCAAGTGATCATGGTAACAATGTTATCTCTTATGTCACACCTTTTCCTTCCACAAACCCTACACTCATTTCTCCTTCACCACAAACCACTACATCCACCACCAACCCTAGACAACCATCACCACCACAAACCAACAACAATAACAATATGCCACATTTTTTGCCCAACATGAACACCCCTTTCTCAACCACCTCCACCTCCACCTCTTCTTCCACAGCTTCAGATGAAGACTTGGAAGAGAGGTATAAGAGGAAGAGAAAGTGGAAGGACTACTTCAGGAGGCTCACAAAGAAGGTCCTATTGAAGCAAGAGGAGATGCAAAAGAAGTTCTTGGAAGCCATGGACCAAAGGGAGAGGGAAAGAATGGCACAACAAGAGAATTGGAGGATGCAAGAATTGGCAAGAGTCAATAGGGAACATGAGATTCTTGTGCAAGAGAGATCAACAGCATCAGCCAAAGATGCTGCGGTCATTGCATTGTTGCAAAAGCTGTGTACCCAACAAAACCCCTCACAAGCTGAAGTAGAGCCACCACAACACAAGCCAACAATGCCACAAACTCCAACACTAATAATGCCAAACAATAATTTTGAAATCATGAAGATAAGTAATGATCACACTGCTACTATTACTGTCACTACTCCTGTTACTGCTACTCCTGTTACTGCTGTTGATGCTATTACTACTGCTACTGCTGTCACCGCTACTGCTACTTCTCCGATGAGTTGTTCTTCATCTAGGTGGCCAAAAGCCGAAGTTCATGCTTTGATAAGGTTGAGGACGAGTCTTGATACCAAGTATCAAGAAAATGGACCAAAAGCTCCATTGTGGGAAGATATATCAATTGCAATGCAGAGGCTTGGTTACAACCGGAGTGCGAAGAGATGCAAGGAGAAGTGGGAGAACATCAACAAGTACTTCAAGAAAGTGAGGGAGAGTAACAAGGAAAGGCGTGAAGATAGCAAGACATGTCCCTATTTTCATGAGCTTGATGCTCTATACAAAGAAAAGAACAAATCCCAGAACCCCTTTGGCATGTTCCAGAACATGAGGCCGAATGAGATGATGATGATGGAGCCATTGATGGTGCAACCTGAGCAACAATGGAGGCCTCCACCTCAAGAGGGTCAAGGGAAGGAGAATGCAAGTGAAGAATATCAAGAAAAAGAAGAAAATGGTGATAATGATGATGATGTTGATGTTGGAGATGGAGATAGTGTGGAAGCTGAAGGAGAAAGCCGGTTTGAGATTGCGACAAACAATTGAACATGCTTCAGTGGACACAGTTGAAGGAGACAAGATAAGGAATTTTCTAAATGTTGAAATGTTACGTTTGTTTAATTTACTTTTAACTTATGTCGAAAAATTAGTCCTTTATGGTTTATCATCAATTCTTTGAATTTGTTTTCTAAAAATATGATTATTTCTTAAGAAAGCAATTCTTGGGGTATAGTCTTACAGTTTTTGTTTTTCTCATGGGCTTATAATTAACATGTTACTGAGGAAAATTGTGATAGATTGTTGACATTAAAGGCATTGCACAAACACCTGCGCCATAAAATTCAATTCTTTAATCATGATTCAAGACCTATCTAAAAGCATGGGCTTCTGTGGCAGAACATAACATACCCTATCTGAGAGACTTTTTTTTTCTGAACATGGGTTATCATAAAAGGTGATGATTGGGGTAGTGGGTCAGATTTATGCCGCCATGAACTTATTTAGAGATTTAACTCAAAAAATAGTCACATGGGCCAGCAAAGCAGCTATAGTGGGAATGTACAATGTGTTTTGGACAGATACACTATCAATAATGTTATTGTCTAAAAATTCTTAATAGTATTTTATAATATATTTTTATATCTTTTATTATTATAAAAATGCTAGAACGAAGACATCTTAATAGTACCATAACATGTTGCAACACCAATGTCTTTTATTTCTTTTCCACTGCATGAAAATTAATTTTAAAAGTGATAGATAAAAGTGATGATTAAAAGTTGAATATTTTTTTAGGTATACGTCTATTCACATATAACTTACCTGATTATTAAGGATGAGCATGACCCAATTCGACTTATGAATTCTTGAATCCAATGTATTTTTAAAATAAGATCGAGTTACATTTTGGTCGTCTAATCTAACTTAATATATAATATTTTCTTACTTAATATATAATATATTTTTAAAAAGTATAAGTTCATTGAATCATTGTGTATTAATAAAAAAAATATTTAGTTATTAATATTTTTTATATAATATTATATTTATAATAAAACTATTTATTTAAAAAACATATATTATAAAATATACCTTAATTTAAGTTATGTACTTTTTTTTAATTTACATTTCTTTTGTGCACAAAAGGAGCCAAGGCTTCAGACAAAATTATATTTCACGAACGAAAAATATATCACCTGAATCAATTGACACAAGAGGGATTATAAATCCTAACAAAACATCAAAAGTACAATTCTCTACTCGATAAGATTTACAATTTAACTATATATAATATTAAAATTAATATAGCGTATCAAAATTGGATTCACCCGGTCTTGTCCTATATATTTTTCAAACCTTGATTGAGTAGGGTTTCAATTTTAGAGAATGGGTTCGACTAAAAATTGGGTTGGATTTGGGTAAGGATGAACCGGATCAAATTAGAGCAATCAGTATAATAAAATAGATTTTTAGTGACATTTAATATAATTTTTAGTGGTAATAAAAATTATTATAAAATTTTTTACCGGCATTTTATACATTAACCATTATATGCAGTGTCGCTAAAACATTTACTGGCAATTATTCTATATGCTGGTAAAGACCCTCATAATGGTGGGGAAAAGTGTATAACTTTTTGTGTCATTTGGTACTAGCATTTAAAATTTCCGCTAAAAGTTTAAGAAAAGATTTATAATACTCTTTAATTATCTTATTTCTAATCAATGTAAGATTTGTAAGATGAGTACAAATACTCTTTAGTTATCTTATTTCTAATTGATGTGAGAGTTAGAAGATGAAGGTTATCTTCTAAGTATATATTATTTAATTTTTTTAATTATCTTATTTCCTAAATAATAACTTAGAATAGTAAGTTATAGGTCTAACTCAACCTTATAAAACATACTTGTAAGGTGAGAGTTATCATTCGTTTATATATGCTTTAATTATTTTATTTCTAGTCGATGTGAAACTTAAGTTTTTTCTAACAAATAATTATCGTTAATAGTAAATTTTGATGTGATGTAAATACATTTTTAGTGACCATTATATAATAGTCATTAATATTTTTATTAAATAATAAAATAGAGGTAATTAATTTATTATCATTAAATAATTGTCGATAATACTAAATTTTGTTGTAGTGCATGTTCATCCCTGTTGTCTACTATGTAATTTGTATAACATTTTTTAGATTTTAACTACAACAAAAAACTATAAAAATAAGTATTTGAGATTTACCTACATTAAATATTGGAGAGATAATTTTGTTCAAATTGGATAAATCTATCATAAACCGTAAAATTAGCTCCTTTCCCTGTCCCAACTATTTAAAATAGTCATATATTCAAAATTTGGACTCAAAATGTATAAGATAATCTTTGTCTTGAGTAACATATTTTTTTAGATATATATTTTATGATTTAAATATACATGATGTTAATACATATTAGGTTATAGAGTTCAAGTTTAAAAATGTAATTCAATAAAAAAAAATTGATCAAGAAAAAAACAAAACGTTTTAACCCATTAACATGTACATAAAATCACTGTCGTGTACTTTCAATTTTTCCTGTGTTTCTGGAGGCACTAGTTGCGTGTGAGATTGTTACATGAGTAGGAAGACTCCGTTAATTTTCCACCAATTGACTTTACAAGCCTCGGAATTTGTGGAGACTATTTTTGTTATTAAATTAAATACAGGTATATTTTTTTCATTGATGTTTATTTTTCTCATACACGTTTAGAAACTCTACAAACAAAAGGTATCTAACACTAACTTTAGTTAAACTGGCTGGTGAGTGGTGAGCACAAACCAGAACAATATGATCACGAGACAAATTCCATTTTCCAATGAATGACAAAGGAACAATCATGGTGGTAAGACTGGTAAGTAAGAAGAAGGTATAAGGAACAAAGAGAATAACTCAATGGTTGTCACTTGAAAGATAGAACTTGAATGCTTGAAGTTAGTGAAAGTGTAAAATGTAAGCAATACTGAAAGTTAGATATATGATGCAAAATCTTAGCCGTAAGATCTATATACTGTCAGGCATGAAGAGTTACGTTACTATAATTACCATTCTGAAACGTGACGATACGTAGGAGAAGAAGAAAAAGATCACTCTTGTTCAACTCAGGCTAAAATATTCAATGCATTACACATGTTAAAAGTATTAATTATAATAGATGAAAAAGGAAAAAAAAACTATGTCTAATATTTAACGGTGTAAAGATCAATCTGCTAATGTTCTAATTCCATTCGTTCAATATAGTGTATAAGTTATTATAAATTTTTTAATATCGTGATCGATTCTCGCATTAAAAAAAAATTACTATTAGCGTAAAACATATTTATATGATAAATTTATTGACTTTTGTAATAATTATTTTAAAAATTATATCACTAATGATTTTTTACTAATTGAAAATTTAAAAAAAAATTACATTAGCGGGACATAACGTTATTAAACTTATATTAAATATGATGTAAAAATATAATAATAATAATAATAATAATAGTCGATATGAATTCTTGTATAACACACTTGTTTTTATAAAAGCTTTCGTAATTAAAATTTTAAAAATAATATATATATATATATATATATATATATATATATATATATATAAAAGTATGATTTTGAAGTTAATTATTGTAAGTGTCAATAAATTTATTATATAAGATTATTTTTAATTAATAGTATAACATTATAATTAAATTCTGAAATATATAAATACTAATTAATAATTATATAAATGATAATTTTTCTAGTGATTACATGTTAGATAATTTTTCTTCTCATAATAATCATAACCCAGAAAAATAGATAAAGAGTGAGAGTGTGGGAAAAAAAAAAGTTTTCAGTGCCCAAGCATGCTAACAGGTAGCTACATCCCGACAATTCTCATAAAACTATCGATAATCTAAGTTATTAATTTATGCATAATGAGTTTCTTGAAAAGGCTATAGTCACAGAAAATAGTAAAAAAATAATAATGTGTGAAATCTTATAATGTATAATAACACGTGTGAAACCTTAATTAGGTGTGGGACACCAATTTTGGGTAGATATAAATATATTTTACCTTTCTCCCCTATTTATTCCAAGCTATCCCAGTGCAGTAGCCATAAAATGACAATTTTACAGGAGCAACATGTGGGTCCACCGTTAGGAATCCTGTACGCTCAGAAAACTATGGCATTTTATTACAATATATTCTATATGCTTATCTCTGTTGACTTTTGTACACTGCAATTATGTAGTATATTGGAGTTCTCTAGATCAATAACTCCATTATTGATCACCGATGGGGAGGTTGAAAACGTTAACACAATGAACCACCAGGGACAAAGTAAATAATAATGGACTTTTCTATTTTTACAGTAGATAAAACAATTAATGCATCATTTTATTAATTCTCAATATTAAAAATATATAATTAGATTCTTCATTTTTTTAATAATTTTTTAATTTCATTTATGATGCTAGACATTCATTTACAATCCATAAAATTTAATAAATACTCTTTATATTTTTATACATGAACAATTGTATATGTCGTCCTCTGCGAGTATAAGAGTTTAATCCTTATCTTTTAAAATTTTCTATTATTTCAGAATTTTTGTGATTAAAGAGATTATGAGAGAATTTTTATGAGTAAAGATTAAAACTTAATACACATAAATGATAACATGAAATAATAATCTATCATAATTGCTCAAGTATAAAGATAAAAAGGATATTTTTGTGAAATTACATGAATTGTAAATAAAGTTTTAATCTCAGGGGTTAAATTAAAAAATATTAAAAAAATTAAGAACTTAATTATATTTTTTTTAGTTTAAGAATTTAATTAAATATTTTCTAAAATTACCAAAAAAAAATTAAATAACAAAGTTGGACAAACAAAATTGACCTCACAGTTTTGACAAGGTTATTTGTATATTGTTTTGGGCCATTACAAAACCCACCTCAGCCCATATAACCTACTAGGGTTAACATGCTCATTTAAAAACTACCATGTCCAATTCATCACCCCCAACAATGTCCAATGTCTTTTACTATTCAAAAGTTTTCCTTATACTACATAGTAGTTTCTTACAAACACAAAGCATTGGAACCTGAACCTAAATTTGTTATAATAATGAGTACCTATGAATCACGTGATGTAATATATAGGTGCTTCTTACATACCATTACAAAGTAAGCTTATTGAGCACAAGATGCACACTTGTCACTCATTTTA